CGCTAAGATTCCCTCCTGGGTTTAACCCGTGGCACCGGGTGTGGGCCCGCTGCCGAGTCTCCGGGATTCAGCCCCGATCCACCCGCGTCTCCGCCCCTCGTACCGGTCTCGGTGCTTCTTCAGCTCCCTGGTTGTAGGGCTTCTGTGCAGCAAGATTTCAGGAGGTTCTGAGTGATTGTTGTTCTGTATTTTAGTTGTGATTTTGATGTGGTTGTGGGAGGCGGTGGGTGCAGCTGTTACCTACATGCCAGCTTGTTTGCTCTGCCAAGTCACATTTTCCCTTGATTGAATTCCCTTTTCTCTTACCGTGCCCAGGCCTGGGCTTGTGCTTCACCAGTGATTGTTAGCATCTTAAATCCTTGACTCAGTCTCTGCACGCTGAAGGGTCCAAGCTAAGACAGCTGGCACTGTGAATGGTGCTAGGACATGAGGGCTGTAGGCTGGGGTTTGGGGTAGGTCACTCAACTGTCTGCAAACCCTTTGCTGGGGCCTTATTTGTAGTTAGTTACACTCTCTCGTGTGCTTTATGAAGTTGGGTGGAGAGCAAGGTCATGGTCAAATGTCTATGACACTTAACATGGAGACAATGTTAACTAGGAACATTTTGGAATAAACTATTTCTGTCATTTTTTGGGGGGGAGGTGTCTTTTTATTGTGGTAATATAAACACAACATAAAATTTACCATTTTAATCTTTTTTTTTGAGAGAGAGAGAGAGAGAGAGAGAGAGAGAGAGAGAGAGAGAGAGAGAGAGAGAAACATTGATTGGTTGCCTCCTGTACGAACTCCAACCAGGGATCAAACCTGCAACCTGGGTATGTGCCTTGACTGGGAATTGAACCCGCCACCTTCCTGGTGTATGGGATGATGCTTCAACCAACTGAGCCACCTGGCCAGGGCATTTTAATCATTTTGAGCGTACTGTTTTGTGGCATTAAGCACCCTGACATTGTTGTGTAGTAGTCACTGCCATCCATCTCCAGACTCTCATCTTCCCCAGTTGGAACTCTGTGGCCATCAGACAGAAACTCCCCCCTCGCCCAGCCCTGCAACTGCTGCTCAGCTGTGTGTCACTGTGAATTCGACTAACTTAGATCCGTCCTATAAACAGATCATACAATGTTTGTCCTTTAGTGTCTGGCTTGCTTCACTTAGAAAAATGCCTTTGAGGTTCATCCTTGTTGCAGCATGTGTCGGAATCCCCTTTTTCAAAGGCTGTGATAGTCCACTGTGTGCATAGACCATACTTTGCTTCTCTGCTCATCCATGATGGCTACCGTGAGTTACACTGCTGAGAGTGTGGTGTACAGGTATCCATTTGAGTTCCCACTGTAACATAGTTTGGGTATATACCCAGAGACAAAAGTGCCAGATCAATGATCATTGTATGTTTAATTGCTGAAGAATTCTTATATTGTTTTCCACAGCAGCTGCACCATTTTGCATTCCCACGAGAAATGCAGAGAGGTTCCAACATCCTCACATCCTGGCCAACACTTATTTTCTGTTAAAAAAATATATAGCCCTAGCCAGTTTGGCTCAGCGGTTAGAGAGTTGGCCCAACGACTGAAGGGTCCTGAGTTCGATTCCGGTCAAAGGCATGTACCTCAGTTGCAGGCTTGATCCCCAGCCCCAGTTGGGGAGCGTGTGGGAGGCAATGAAGAGATGTGTTTCTCTCACATTGATGTTTCTCTCTCTCCCCCTTCTACACTCTCTGAAAAGCAATAGAAAAAATATCCTCAGGTGAGGGTTAAAAAAATAATAATAAAAAAATATATAGCATGCTAATGGGTGTGAGGTGTGCCTCATTGTGGTTTTGATGTACATTTCCCTAATGATTATGCTGCTGAACATTTTTTCAAGTGCTTATTGGCTATCTGTACATTTTCTTTGGAGAAATGTTTTTCAAGTCCTTTGCCCATATGTTAATTGGATTTTTTGTTCAGGTGTAGGAGGTTTTTTTTTAACAAAAATATAAATTCAGATAGTAACCCTTATCAGATATGACTTGCAAACGTTTTTCCCATTTCATGGGTTGCTTTTCTACTCTGTTCATAGTGTTCTTTGATGCACAGCAATTTTTAATTTTGATGAAATCCAAGTTATCTATTGTTGCCTGCATTTTTTGGTGTCATATCCAAAAATTTTTTAACAAATCTAAAGTCATCCCAGGCAAGGACAGCTGCCTGAGACAGAGCCGCCACCAAGGACTGGGTGGCAGAAGGCTGAAGCCCACTGCAGATCGGAGTCAGAGGTCCCGGGGAAGGGGACACTCATGCAAATCAGGTTTGCAGGTACTGAGTCCCAAGGATTGGTGGACTTGGAATGAGCAAGCTGAGGAGCCCTGGGCGGAGCAGGGGTGCGGAGCCACTAGAACAGGGGCGGCCACTCAGCAGGGGAAGCGGCCACAGGGTGGCGCCAAAGGAGCGGACTCTGGGCCAAGGCTACAGCACAGCAACTTCAGGAAAGACTCCTTTCCTCTGGTTTTTGCTCTTTTCCTTTCTCTTCTTTCTCCTTCCTCCCTCCCTTCCTCCCTCCCTTCCCTTCCTCCCT